TGACTTAAGGGTTAGGGTTGACTTAAGGGTTAGGCTAGACGTCAGGATTAGGGTCAGGGTTAGACTAGATGTCTGGGTTAGGGTTGACTTAAGGGTTAGGGTTGACTTAAGGGTTAGGCTAGACGTCAGGATTAGGGTCAGGGTTAGACTAGACATCTGGATGTCAGGGTTAGGGTAGATATCAGTTAGGTTAGATGTTAGGATTAGGGTGGTTGTCAAACTTTGGGTATATGTTGGGGTGGATGTCAGTGTAAGGATAGATTTTACAGTCAGTAGGTCAGGGTTAGGCTTAATATTAGGGTTTAGGGTAGACGTCATTTTTACTGTGAATGTCAGGTTTAGGCGTAAATAAAATTCTTGACAGTCAATGAAAAGTTCCAATATGGATAGAAATACACTTGTGTGTGTGTGTGTGTGTGTGTGTGTGTGTGTGTTGTGCAGGTCCCTGTCGGCTCTGTCAGCCTATCACAGCGGGGTTCTGACCCCGATGAAGATGCGTTCAGAGTCTCAGAGCACCCTGCGCCTCTACAGCGGGAGCCCGACCCGCTCCGATAAAGACACCGTCTCCATCTCCTCCTTCTACTATAAAGAGCGGGTGAGACGCACACACACACACACACACACACACTGAAGGACTAAACAAACAGAACCAGAACTCAGTTTGGTTTCAGATCTGGGCTCAGCTGAGGGAAACTGACTCCTGGGCTGGTTCTTTCCCCCAGGAAGTGAGGCAGGTATCCATCTTCTCTGTCATTTGCGTTTTGTGTCCCCCTGCTGGGTGCTAGCGGTATCAGAGGTCTGATTTTGAAGGATTTTTACCAGACCAGACCTGTTCTTAGACTCTCATCCCAAACATCCTCACCATGAGAACCTCTGCTCTTCTTAATGGACATCTGAGCAAGACTTGCAGAACCTGAGACCTCAGAACTCTGGAGGTTGGTCTCAGTTCTCAGTTTTAGCAGAACCTCAGCTGAAACATGCCTGGAAGCGCTGGGATGTTGGGTTAGCAGACTCTTGCCTTCGGTTCTTTTTTTTACTGTCAGACTAGAACAAAGTGTCTTTTGGAAGACTAGTTTAGGACCCGATGGATTGATCTCAACGAACCCAGGTACTCACCCACAGAAACCACAGGAAAGCCGGGAGTTAACTGGGTCGGGCCAGGCTCAGAACCCTGGTGGATACACACCCAGGAAATGTATCTCCTGGATCCAGTTCAGCTAGCTTTCATCCATTTAATCACTATCAAGTCCTAACAGAGAAACCAAAGTGAAGGTAGAACTCTGGGTTCCTCCGTCTCTCCCTAAGGTAACCATGGTAACAGAGATGGTGCTGGAGGAACCCTGCAGAGGTTCTGGTTTTGGTCCGCCTTCATCCTGATTGGCTTCTGTCTCTTTTCTTTGTTTTTTTTTCTTCCTCTGCTATTTTTTCTCCCCGACCAATCACCTGCCCACCCTGCTGCTGGGCCACGCCTCCTCCTCACTCTCCTCCAATCAGAAGCTTCCTATGTCTGCCTCCCGTCGCTGGTCTGTTCAAACCCTCCATGATTGGCCGGTACAGATATCTGCCCATCCCTCCAGTGCAGAATGTTGTTCTAACATGCATGTCTCTGATTGGCTGCTTCTCCTCCACTAACCTCTAATGCATCATCATCTACATTACCGTTCTCATTTATGTGTTCGGAAATAAAACGCCAGTTCCAGCTGATGCTGGGCGGCCCGGCCACAGGGTCCACCCGGCTGCAGGGTCCACCCGGCCACAGGGTCCATACCCCAGATGCTGAGATCCAAACGGTTCTGTTTGTTGTCATTTTCTACAGAAGCTTTGGTTCCAGCAGATGTTTGTTGGAGAACCTGTTGGAAAAACTTTGTTTTAATCTGAAGGGGAAACCTTTCAATGGTTTCTATACTCATTTCACTCACAGGTGTCAATCGTTTTGACGTTTCTCAGAACTTGATAGTATGACATGAGACCAGTAAAAGGATTTTTACCCAGATATGTGATTCTGCTGAACAGGATTTTCAGATTCTGTTTGGTATCTGCTCTCAGTCCTAGTTCTTTTTTATTTTAAAATCAACTCACTTTTTGATTGTAATTCTTCTGTGACAGCTTTTCCATTCACCAAACTTCCCCTGGATACGCGCATTAAGCGTTGATCTAAGGTGTTTAACCCTCCTTGTGGAGGACATATCAAACCCTGAGGTCCAAAGATGACATATCTGTGTTAAAATGATATTTTCTGGGTCTGATCAAATGTTCTAGTAGCGGAATTTGAATGTGATCAAGCAATGTTGATGTTCTGAAGCCGTCCAGTTAGAGTTCTGATTGGGTTCAGGGTTCTACAGGAGGACAAAGGTCATTTCAACATGAAACTATCAAGACACATCAACTGCTGTTAGACCAGAGACCCTGTTGGACATGGAAACTATTAGACCGGAGACACTGTTGGACATGGAAACTATTAG